ATAGCCCATTTCATCTATTTTATCTAGGGCTGAAAAAATTAATCGTATTAATTGATTATTTCAATAATCGTCAACTAATTTAGTATGTGATTAATCATTAACTGGAGAATGGAGACTCCATGTGGAGATATTTTAGTTTCACCTGGTTTATTTAGACATCACCTGAAGCACTGAAGGGCCAGCTGCTTCACCTACAAGCTGCCCTGCATCATTATTACTGGATATCTGTGTTTCCTATAATCATATAATGTATAAGTGCATTTTTAAGAGTAAAGGATTAAATGTAACACAACCTTTTATCGTTGTCCTATATTGCTTACTGTCTGACTGTTAAAATAGCTCCTTACTGTATTTTCTTTTTTAGTGGCATCATCTACAAACACAACACTGAGAATGAGCCTAAGTGTATTCAAATATAAAATAATTTTTAACAATTATAAAAGACAATATAATACTATCTTATCTGTAATTTAACATTATCTAAAATAAACAGCCAGATTCAAGCATTTTTACCAGACATTAATGTTTGTACTAATTTACTTATAGACTGTGTGGAAATCTATGTAAGATAAAATCAATGTTTATATTCTTCCTTTGTTTGTTCTTGTCTTTATCCTATTTCTAGAGGTATAAATAGTCAATAAAATAGAACTATTATTATGTGGAACCCTAATTATGCTTTTTAAACGAAAAACAGCAGATGTTTAGGCTCCATTTCTTGTTGTTATACTCTATAAGAGAAATAACACCTGCTAATAATTATACCTGAACTTTTTCAAAGAGTCATAAAAAAATGAAACCAGTAATAGCAACTAAATATTGGTAAAAAGGAAACACTCACTTTTTCTTTTTTAGTTGGCTGTGGCTAAGAATCAGAAATGTTGATGGCTTACAGCCTTTATTTGCCCATTTTGTTTCTTCAGAACGCCTGGCTGACTCAGAATATTTCGCTTTATAAAAGAAAAAAAAGCTTTTTGTTTTTTAGTGTAGCCTACATGATATTCATTTTTTTTTTTATTGGGACTAGTTTTGTAGCCTAATATTTATTGTAGTAACCGCAGCATTCTAGTGTGAATAAATTTTCAATGTTGTGCTCCAAGCACACAAGGACTAGAAAACAGCCAATCAGAGAGAGAGAAGGCGGAACCTAAGGCAGAACAACCAATGAGAGTGGAGTTAAACAGCGCAGCACAGTTCCATGCGCTGCT